AAAGACAAATTACAAATCGCATGGCATAAATTAATGAATGTAAATGTTTATCGTTTTAGTTGTTAATTTAGAAATTCATTAAAATTAGATTTCAATGAGATATATTTATTTTTAGTTAAATTTATTTTTATTTCTATTTTTATTTTTTTTTTTGAAATTTATTCCAAATATTCGAATATAATAGTCGATTATTCCGAGCGAAGTTTCTTGCAAATGACCGCAAACTTACAAATACCATCAAAAAGCAAAAAAAAAAAAAATCGATAGATTCGACAACAGCAGGATTTGAACCTGCGCGGGTAGAACCCATCAGATTTCGAGTCTGACGCCTTAACCACTCGGCCATGTTGTCCAAGATACCATGTACTACATTCCTGAAATTTAAATAAAGTTTAATTTAATAGGTAGCAAAGAAATAATGCTCGCATTAGTTTTATTCATTTCACTTTGATTATTAGAATTTAATAATAGAGAATTTTTTCTCTTTGGATGATTTAAAATATAAAATTTCTTTCCTTGCTCATAAATATCAAAAAGAATTTAATTATATTTTTATTTGTAGCCCCGTAAATGTTTTGAAAACGAACTACCGAAAATACTTTGTTGCATGATGAATGAAAAATAAATTTCATTCATTTTCTCTTATTTTGGAAATATCTTTTCCATTGGTTTTTCTTTTTCTTTTTTTTTTTAAGAGATATTTATTTATTTATTATTATTATTTTTTTTTTAGAATAGACATCATAAAATATTTCATCTGTTAAATCAGTATTAAGAAATGTCATTTATCATTACAACGCCAAATGAATAGTTCTTTTTTTTTTTTTTACTTTTTTTATTTTTTAAAAAAAAAAATTGTAGACATTTGCTTTGCCTTTTTTTGATATTTAATTTCCCTCACAAAAGCTCGGAAACAAACTTCACGTGGGTAAAAATTAATTATGTCAGTTATGTTGAGTTGTGTAATAAGAAGGAAACTTAATATCTAATCGGATATATTTTGATTCATTCTTCATTCATTTAAATATTTGGGGTTGTTATTAAAATAAAAATGCACTTCATTTAATAAATTTATTTATAAATTTTATAAAAATTTACCTGATTTTTTACCATTATATATATTCATCTCACGGTCTCGCGGGTTGTTGGTTTAAACAAAAAAAGAAAAAAAAAATGCTCATCAGTAAGATCAGCTCAAAACATAAGGCCCTATTGGAATGAAAATTCGCGCAATGGTCTCGATACTTCATATTAAACAGCCATAAGCGGACTTTGTGGCCACTTCACTCTGAAAGTTTAAAGTTCAGATATGAAACAAGAAAGATTACACCAAAAAATGGTCGGATTGGGCACATTATCGATTCTGTCAACATGTTTTCATCCAAAATGAGTCTTATACATCTGAGACATGCAAAATATTTGGTATAAAACTGCCAAAATTGTAAAACTGAGATAAAAATGGCGTCTTGGGAATTTTACTCCGGGCATTGCTTGATGGAGCCTTGATTCTCTACGGAGATCATGCAGGAAATAGTAGCAAATCCTGTTATTGATGTATTACAATACATCCGAATTTAGTCACTATTAACATTTTATTTTGTAATCATTGTTTGTTCAAAGAAACTTTATGAGGGGGACATTTCATTGAACCAAATTTGTAATAATAGTTTAAATAAAAGAATCGTATTAGCGTTGACTTTTAAATCCTTCCGCTAGAGGATTTGCATGCTATTTGTTCAAAGGATCCTAAATGATATTAGTGGTCAACATCATCAACTAATCCTGATCTGATAACATAATGCGCAGCTGACGGTTAATGATAAACCTATTGTTTGAACGGTAAATATAAGGATTGTTGTGTGAGAATTTGTATGAAAGAATGTGAAAGTGCGTGGGGATGCGTGTTGCTCGTTTACATACAAGCACAACATTTTAAATGAACAATTGAACTATCTTTGGTTCGATTGAAGAAATTAACCTTATAGAACTAAAGGGAACGGAAAAACTATTGGAATAATGTGTAAATTAAAAGTAGGGAATTAATCAAAGGAAATGCATAATGACCAATTCACGATCATGCAAACCAATCAACAACGAAACGAACGGTTCTTTTAGGCCCGTAGATCATCTCAAATTTCTAAAAAGTCAAATGACAATGTCTTGTGATGTACAATCGATGTTACTTAACAATTTTGGAAGAAAGAATTAAGTACCAAATTTGTTATCTATGGTTACTTCTGCAGATTCCTTTGTTACTCTACTAAATTGTTTATAATGAAAAAAAAAAAAGATTACAAACTATTAATAATAACATTCTTATTTCCCTTTCAATAATTATTTAATAAACAAACAAAACCACAAGAAATCAGTTTCTTTCTCTTTTTCTTTTAAAAAACTACTTTTTTTTGACATGTTTGTATTACCTTACTTTAATCAAGAGAAAAAGGTTTTTTTTTCATTTTTTTTTACCTTTATTTGTCATTCTTCTTCAGACTCGACCTTTCGTAAACAAATAAATAAACATTTTTTGTGGCTCAAACTTTAAAATAAATGGAATAAGATGGGTAATGATCGTATGAAGGTGTGTGATAAGATTAACAATGCCAAGTTTTTTTACATGGGTGGTTAATCGATAAAAAAATTGTTAATAAATTTTCCTGAAATTTTTAATTAAACACTGTATTTTTAATAGTATGTATAAGGAAATAAAAATAAAAATAAAATGAATAAAGCGCCTAAAATTTTTTGAATTCCCTAGGGAGATCATCCCGATAAATAATTCGAGAATAGCAAAAAAAAAAAAAAAATTGATGGATTTTCTTTTTAATCACCGAAAGTTTTAAAAGCGATAAATATCTTTTTGTTATGAAAAAAGTTTAGATCAAATTTTAAGGGAATTGGCTGAAAACAAGATCAAAATATTTTGATCTCTTGATCATTTTTTTCATTACTTTTTTGACTTTCGTCTTTGCCCAGTGATTCAGTGACACCCACGTGCACAAGAACATTTCTATAAGCAGCAATCAATGTTCTTTGACGGTTGTCACGTTTACATTTTTGGGAGAGACATAAAGTTCATTCCACTACGCACCAAATGTCCTACCAACTAAAATCCTTTTTACGATTAATCAGCCATCCGAAATTCATCCGAATACATGTAGATATATAAATCAAATGTACAGTATGCTGTATGTATGCCACAAATTTAGACACGACAGGATTTTTTGAAATCGCTTTCCATTTGTCAAAAAAAAAGTTGAAAAAAAATTTTTTCGCTTTCGAATAACAGATCGAAAAGGAAAAACATCAGAGAATAATTTTTCATTTCGTTACCAATGAGCTAACGTTTTATTTTTGGTAATCCTCGGGATCTGATAAAAATTTCTGAATAAGCAAAACAAATTAAATGATATCTTGATTTTATTACACAAAATGGTCCATTATGAAAGGATTATATGGATCAAAAATATATAGTCACATGATTGTTAAACTTCTAATAATAAATTTCTATATAGTGTTACCTTTTTTTCTTTTCTACAGGTCTCCAAAAGAAAGATCATGTGCGATATGCATCATGCGATCTTTGTGTTTGTGGGTTTGCTTTTTATTTCCTCGTGTTGCAAAGAAAAGATTAATGACCTTATATTTTTGCCACGCAAATGCATATTATTTTCAAATCAAAAGGTGTTAATCGGAATTTTACTCCCCAAAAAGAAATGCCATTCCCGAGTTTTCTTAAGCATTCCTTTATCAAAAGAGAGGCTGAATTGATTACCTTTGATTGGTAAGTACAACATTACATTTATTCTTTCTGAATAGGATTTCTTTTTTTTGCAATTTTTAATGAAGAATAAAAAAGTCCAAAAAATGAAATCAATAGAAAATCTTTGGAAACAGATCGAAAGTCAATTATACAAGCAAAAAAAAAAAAAAAAAAAAAAAAAAAAAATTGGAAAAAATGGATCGATTGACAAGTGTAAATGGTCTCACCGCATAAATTAGTGGATTTTAATTACAGGAAAATCTCCTTAGATTTTATGTTTGTTGAAAGTCGATGATTTTGCTGTAGGTCGAATCATCTCTTAAAGTGGGCCTCATGTTTCTCATGTTTTAGTAAATGAGGCTGATTATGCAATCTTCAGGGTTTTCCTTTTTTTTTTTTTTTTTTTTTTTTTTTTTTCCCTTCTTTCTTTTTTTAATACTAATTGAAGGATGGAACTTGTACCTTAACCTGAATAGATTCGTTTTTGAAGAACTATTTACAATACTTATTTAATATTTTTCGCCACACTTTATATATTGTTTCATATATATATATAAATATATATATACACAGAGAAACGTGTAGAATTTCACGTTTGTAACACTTTTATATGTCCATTATAAATTTTAAATGCAGCTTAACGTCACCGAATTAAGTCTAATACGGTAAAACCGGCTCAAATTCAAGAAATTTTAATATATTTTATTTATTATATTCAACAATTTGACACAATGTAAAATAAACTTGGGGAAGTGTCACAAACTTGGTGCCCTTTTATCTAGTATATTATTACATTTTATATGTAACCCTAATATAGTTTCCTTTTGTGACTTCCCTATTTAAAATTAAATGATAAAAATAATTTTTTTTTTTTTTATGCACCTGCAAAGTAAATCTATTAAGTTATATATATTTAAATAGGTTATAGAACTCCGAAAAGATCACATATAACCACTACGCATATTTTAACCACTCAAAGCTCAAACTTCTCAAAAAAATTCTTTCCTTCAAAACCATTTGGATATTTAAATAACCCCCTCCCCTTTATTTTTTTTTTTTATTTTTAATTATTATTATTATTTATTATCGTAAATTTCTTTGGTTCTCTTTACAAGTATTATTATTATCCCTAGTTTCTTTTTTTTTCGTATTATATACCAAAGTAAGCTTTCTCGCACATTTTGCCTTTTCTTTTTCTGGAATTTATTAGAGAAAGCTCTTTAAGGATATATCCGATATGGCTATGGTAACTTCCTCAAATGAATTTTATGTTGAAAGCAATCAATTCCCAAACGGACCAACCAGCAGGACTGTACGTGTCCGAAAGATCTCTTGACCGCTTTCGGTCATTTTCCAAAGTTCAAACTTTAAGTACTCACAAACTCGTTTGTTCTTCTTTGCTTTTGTAGACTTCAGAACAATCCGTGGGTATGTTTAATAATAACTTTGAAGGAACGCTTCAGTCGCTTATGAACGTTCAAAAACAGATATCAGATATGAACCATGTTATTAAGGTAATCTATCAATCTACCAAAAGTTGAACAACTATTACAACTATTTCCTTTAATTGTAGCCCTTTTTTTTTTTTTTTTTTTTTTTTTTTTTTAAGAAAATAATTAACCGACTTTACATTTTCCTCTATAGCAAAAAGATGAGGAAATAAAACAGTTAAAAGAAGAAAACGATAAATTGAAAAAAGAGATAAAGGTATCGTCAATATTTTCCTTGAATATATGACTTTCGCTCGATTTCTATATATATTTTTTTTTCTTTTTTAGCAATATGCAGTGTTATGTAAATGAGCACCAATCAAATTTCTCACCCCAAAATTTTCCTCGATCTGACTATCACTTAAATTTATAGTCCTCCAAATCTACTGATCATCTCGTAACAGGACGTAACAATGGACATAAAATAGATGAATTGAAAAGAGCCGTTGGGAAAGTTATTGAAGAAGTCCTATCATCAGAGGTAAGTCGAAATTTATTTGACTTTGCTCTTTATTTATTATATTAGGGTAAATTTGGCATTTTAATGATCCGACAATAGTTGATCAACCAACAAAGCAACAATCATTTTTATCTCGGTTGTGTTGCATAAACTTCCCACAATAAAAAAATTATAGACGAAGGGAATAATAATTCTGTCTAATAATTCATTTTTAAACTATTAGCATCCAACCCGGCCCATCCAAAGGACCACCTACAATCCTGCATCAACAGCGCCTACAACATCCACCACCATTCATCCCGTTTCCATTCAAGTTTCAAACCCTGATGGTAGAATATCTTTTATTATAATCTGATCTTATTTTATTATCGTCTGATAATTATTAAACTTCTAAAACATGATTCATCATAGTTAATAACCCGTTAGCTTCCACAAATGATTCTAAACCTATTACACCTATTCTTCCAGACGAATCTACGGTAATTGCTGGTAACCACATGAATCCCTCCAGTAACAATAATCAAGAACCAAACTTTGAGTATGGTGTATGTATTTATAATTTATTTTGATTTTCGTTCATCTGACATATACATATATATATATTTATTTTATTTTATTAATATATATATATTTTTAGTCCAGGCCTTCTGATCAAGATATTGTCAATCAAGCGACGAACGAAGGTCAACGACATCGTTATGTCGCCCCAACTCCGACAAATAATCATAACGGTCAAAGACCAGAACAAAGAAGATTCCCACCTAATAATACCAATAATATGATGGGAATTCCTAATCATAACAGAAATCGTAATAATCATAATAACAAGGTGAGAAATTTGGAGGTGCTCATGTTCGAGGAAACTTTTGATTTAATGACTTTAATGACACTTTTTTTCTTCTCCCTTAGACTCAACATACGATTTTCGTTTCATGGCCTGGTACGATGTCAATAGATAATTTACGCGAACTATTTGACAGTCAAGATGTAAATATATTTTTTCACATTTTTGGTTTATCTACTTTTAGAAATTATAAAGTTATAAACTTGATAATTTTTTCTTTGTAATAGATTGAAGATATTCGCTACATGACGCAAAAACAATTTGCCCACGTGGATATGAAATCTGAACAAGCTATGCAAAAGGCTTTAGGTCTTAATGGAGTGGTATTAATACATTTTCACTAAATTTCGAAAAAATTTTATATTCATTCATTAATGAAATGTTAGTTAATATATGTATCATTATTACTTAATAGATGAAGAACGAATCGCAAGGTATATTACGGGTGGAATGTGGCAAACCACGTTCTAATAATAATAATAATAATAATAATAATAATAATAATAATAATAATAATAACAATAATAACAACAACAACAATAATAATAATAACTCTGCGGGTAATGTATTTAAGATTATTGATTTTAAAATCCTTACTTTTATTTACTTAAATGGTTATACTAATTTGTTTTTCTCTTAATGATGTTCTTTTTAGAAAATGGGCAACGTCCGCAACATCAGAATAAAAGTTTTACCCGACAGAATTATAACAAAGGTTTAAACGGTTATAACAACAACAACAACAACAACAACAACAATAATAATAATACCAATACTTTACCGAAATACAGATACACGTTCAACAATCATAATAATCATCATAACAATCATAACAACCATAATGCCCCTTACCTTAACAACACTTCACCTGAGAATGAAAACGAAGGTATTAAAAAATGGAGTAGTAATCCTTATACAGAAAGTGGCGATCAACAAAATGGTTCAGCCTTTGGTCAAAAACAAGAACATATTAAATCAAATGGAGAGATGGTTTGAAAAAAAAAATATTATTCTCTCCTTTATTAAATTTAAATAGTGGTTGTAATTTTAGTGTATGAGCGAAATTAATTCTGTGGGTAAGTATAACCAAACTAGATACTCTTTTTTATTATTATTTCATCATTTATTTTATCATTTATAAATTTTTATTGCATTTTTTTTTTCTTTCTTTTTTTTTTACTTATTGGTGGGAACTATTTTTGAGATTTATTTTCATTATTATTCAATCCCTTCGACTGTAGAATAGGCTAATTTGCCTGCGTTTTCCCGTAAAAGTATTTTCTTAATAAAACTATTTAATATTACTCGGAATGATTCATCAAATTGTTCGTTTTATCAAATCGAGATAGCAAAGGAGACAAAAAAATTTTTTCAATTTATTCGAACAAATTTGCCTGCAAAGGTATCAGTTTAAGGGATAACTATTTTTATTATTTTAGAATTTGTGTGGCATTACATTTCAATTAACTTCATTTTATTTTTATTTATTTATTTTTTTTTTTTTTGGATAATTAAAATTTCGCATTTATCATTTCGAATATCATGAATGTATAAATATATTACATTATTTTTTTTATATAGTAAATTTCTTTATTTCTTAGAAGGATATATATATAATTTCCTCTCTTTTTCTTTATCAAAGATTGTTTCTTCAAGGATGAATAAAGTTAAATTATGAATTAGATTAATTTATAACGTGACCTTAAACATGAAAATTGAAATAGATATAAAAGTAGAAATGCTCGTAATGAGACAAATAGTTTTAATTCGTCCAACCCAAATTTTTATTTTTAAGATTTTAAATTTTACAAAAATTTTTACGTTTATCATAAAGATAGTACCGGACAGCATTATTTAGACAATTACTTTCGCTACTATGAACTTCGCTGAATGCGACGTTGACTCTACAATTCATCATTTTTTTTGATATATTTCAAGATTACCATTCCCAATCAAGGACATTTCGACAGGCATCCCGTTTATTACTCAAAATTGAAACGGAGGTTTGCCTTTTGGAAAGGATTAATGAATGTTCGAAGCTTCAAATATAAAAACATCTAATATAGTGAATTTTTGAAAAAAAAAAGAAACGAATAACCAATTACTTGTATCAACTATGAATCGTTGGTAAAATATAACAACTTCATCCTAATAACGTACCTGAGATTCAAATATATCTTTGATCATGAATTGATATAGAAAGAGGATGTCTGGTATGAGTATTTTTATTTTAATGGTTCTAAATTTTTCATTTCATTACTCATGTTGGATTCCTAAATTAACAAAAAAAAGGAGTATATTAATATATATATTAATTATCAGAACGACCTTACGTAAAGAGGAGTTGTACGTACGTTGTAATTCCATATGCGAACCAATTCTATCAGCTGACCTGTCTATACGCTTGAGGGGCTAGTCGCTTGACAGGTGAGTTAGTTAATACATGATTGTTTTTATTTTTATTTTTTATTTTTAAAAATCATTGGAATTTTTTTTTTTTCTTTAAAAAAAAAAGACAATTTATAGTTAGAAAGAAACAAAAGAAACACAAAATTTTAAAAAATTGTGATGAAATTAATTACTATGATTTGTGGCCAGATGCATCATATCTCAGGTGAAGTACCTTGATGATGCAAATGGTCGCCTATTGTAGGCTCGGTTAATTTCCGTAACGTCCGCTAATCGGAGATAGGTTTGATAAATTATTTTTTGTAATTCTCGGTTAATTTTCGTAGCGTCCGCTATCGGATAATTAAACCAAGGGGAATTTTGTCGGAAATAAAAGGATAGCAAAAGGTGTATACATAATTCAACCCACAGGAAGAAAGAGCTGGATGAGTTGTATTGCTAAAATAAATTTTTTTTATTAGACGAGTGAAAATATCCCCAATTTTTATATATATATGTAATTTTTTATACAGTATATATTTAATTATTATTATTATTATTATTATTATTTATATGTATAATCGCGATCACCGTTTTCCCCCATTTTAAATTTCGCGATTATACATTTACTAGAATATTTTGAAAGATATGCTTTGGTGAGAGAGTTGGGTTTTTTTTATTTTTATTTTTATTTTTTTTTAAAAAAAAAAAAAAATTGCGGTTGGATGTAGAGGGTGAGCTGGTTGGAATAGGATGTGAATGTGAAGATGAAGATGAAGGTAGATGTGGATGGTAACAACTTTAAAAAATAATCGACATTTGCGACTATATTAAAAGTTGGTCATGACTTCTCTAAAAGAATGTGATAAAAAAAAAAAAAAAGAAAGTTGATGAGAGAAACTGATGGGATTTTGATAACTTTTATTTATTTATATATATAAAAAAAAAAAAAAAAAAAAAAAAAAAAAAATAATCAAAATTTTCCCACTCCTTTTCTTTTTTTTAGAAGTTGACATCATAAAAAAATTCGATTTTTTTTTTTTTAATCAATCTAAATCTGTTGATCAAACTCATGATTTCATGAACAAAATTTTGAAAAAAAAATCAGGATATCTTTAAAAAAGGTTACTAAAAATCAAGGCTGTGTTGGTGCCTGTGAAAAAAAAATGTTTTTTTTTTCGCCTAATTGTGAAACATATCTGTTACGCGATTATTTACTGTATTATAACCATCCTCTAATATAACTGCCTCTTCTTCCCATACCAGTATCAACACCATCATTACCCTGCTTTCTTTCAACAAATGATACACTAGTGCCATCTAAATCTTTCAAAGCTTCTTGATATGTTGGAGGAGGAAGATTTAAGAAAAATGAAGGATTTGATCCTCTATCAATAACTTCAATAACCCTATCATTTTCATTATTCGCAGAAATTTCTAACCGGGAATGAAAATTTTCGGGAGATAATGAGTGTAACGATGACGAATCAGGCATGCAATTATGCGATGAAGAAGAATAAACAGGTGGAGGTGGCGAAAAAGATAAATCTTCATCCATTAAAGTTGCAAATGAAAGATTATTTAAAGAACGATTAACGTTGACGGAGGATGTCGAACGATATGACAAGTTGTAATCACAACGTAAATCCTCTACAATGTTAACTGTCAAGAATTCCTAATACAATGTGTGTGTAAAATTTTTTAGGTCAAGAAGATTTTTTTTTTTTTTTTGGGCGTATTTTAATTAAAATGTATAAAAAAATTTTACCGTATAGTTGGAGACGGAAAAGGTAGGTTTACCATTGCGTTTCTTGATTATTTTCCAATGCACGTGACGAGAGTAATCATGACTGTTATTTTTTGTAACAAGTAAATGAATTTCACGTTGCATCTAAATGTATGAAAAGAAACATCGATCTTTTTTAGCCATCATCGTTTTTCCATTTAACATTTGTTTCCGTCAAAATTGATACATACTTTTCTTTTACAATTAATACAAACAATGCAATACCAAAGAATACAACCAACAAAGATCAATGGTAATATTCCACCAATTAATCCAATATAATTCTTTGAAAATAGTTTAGGCGTAACATATCCTCTATGGATTTGTTTTATAATGACTACGGGAAATATCGTTATTATACAAAATATCGGTAAGAGCAAGGGTAATATGATATGTTTTGAATATTTCTCTTGATATGTTTTATAAACCAGATTAAATGATTTTAACCGGGACGTAAATTCTTCTTTTGTGAACTTTTGAGAAGAGGAAGCAAAACAAAGGTTATTACTAATTTAGAATGACATTGTAAATAAATTTTTTTATACGTACATAACCGTCTAATTGATTATTATAAACTTCTTCATCTACTTTACCATCTATAATTGGAACCTTTACAATTTGAATCATATTTATTTCGATAAAAAGATCTCCACGTAAAAGGGATTACAAATTCCTCTCCTATTTATATTTCTTTTGTAACCATTTTATTTAGTAAATTAAAAATTAAGGTACTATATACTGGAAGAAAAATTTAGGTTCAAAATCGCGTTCAAAATAAAAAGCACGAGACAAGTTAGATTCATGTAACAAATAATCGTGGGTAAATACAAATTTAAATTTATGGGTAATTATAGTACCAAAAAATATTTTAATTAATAAGACTAAAATAGGAATTCACCTCTTATTATTTATTGTTATTTTTTTCGACCTCAAAAGCATGTCAAAATAAACAAAAAGGGTATTGTTAATTGGTTCCAAACAATAAATAATGCAAAAATGCAGTAATTATCTTGATTCTAATGAATACCAAAATGAGGAAAAAATACAAATTTTAAACGAATGATATACTTAAATTTTCTTTCATAGGGATAAAACTTAAATATTTCGGCTGTGCCGCGACACAACCCTTCTTTTAGGAGGGAAAAAATGAACTTTGTTTCATTAAAAAAAAAAATTTTAAAAATGTCAAACCAGTCATATTTAGATTAGTGTGCAAAAATAATGTTACAGTTGTGTAACTTTTCCTTCGTATCACTTTTTGGTTAAAATTTTAGTTATAAAATTGGGCGTTATGGTTGTTACACCTGTCAGCTGAAAAAATGATCCGTTATATAACTTTATTTGATCATATAAAGATAATACGGGTTAGTGATTTTTTTATCCGATCTTGTTATAACGTGAAAATAAATGTAACAGTAAGAATCCTTTGGATAAAGTGATAATTTAATAATTGCGCTGAAATGATAATTACATGGCCGCAGTTTTTAGGTTTGATAAAACCGCAGTAAATTAATACTATAATGCATTTAGCTGATATTGGTATACATAAATACATAAATCATCTTTGCAAATTTGACTCTTTTTAAAAAGTCAATTTGAAAAGGCCCATTAAAATATAACACTTTCTCAATGCCTTCAGAAAAAAATAGTTCATCTACTTTGACTGAAAATTTGAAGGATAGGTTTATTTTTCAGTATGTTTTATTCTTGTCTTTTTACTATTTATAAAAATAAACTTTTTCATATTAGATTTCACTAAAAGATCCCAACTATTTTAAAACTAAATCACAATTGGTTCTTGCCAAGTTTTATGCTTTACCTA